ACATTCGGTCCCTAGTCTGTAGCAGTGCATGGGATTCTTCCTTCCTAAGTGCAGAACTCTGCACTTGTCCTTGTTGAACCTCATCAGGTTTTTTTTGGCCCAATCCTCTAATTTGTCTAGGTCCCTCTGTATCCGATCCCTACCCTCTAGTGTATCTACCACGCCTCCCAGTTTAGTGTCATCTGCAAACTTGCTGAGAGAGACTTATGTATGTTCTAGCATGCTGTTCCCAAGCCTCTGATGAGAAGCAGCATAGTCCTATACCCATATTGTCTGTCTCTCCTCCCACAACCCTCCTATACACTTTGTTCTCCGGTGTACTTTGTTGTCCAGTAATTACCGTGTCTAATAATGAACAAACCAAAACCAAGCATTTATTGCCAGTTATTGAACTCTGTGTGGAAATTCATTCTTTTCTTGCCAGCTGAGATTATTGCTAGACTTTAGCTTTGCGTTCGCTCAAGCATCTGACGTGATTGCCATGAAGTAGTATTGCTGTCTAACATCTACACTTTTTTTTCTTTCGCCTTGTCTCAACCAGCTAGAATTGAAACCTCAAGGGAGAATGCTAATGAGTGCAAGATATTTCCTGGAAATGAGTGGCAAGTGACACTATTTATTGATTAATTGATTTGATTTCTGGTTATGTGGGGCAGACAAGTCATCTTCAGATAAACACCTACCATTTAAAATAATGCTCACTTCAATACTGGTGATTCACCTATAGACTTGTATTGAGATTATTGCAATGGGTTGAATGCGGCTCCACTATGAAGAGCAATTCGTATAGCATTGCGGGGTTCCATGCTTGCTGTCCCTCAGTTATTTGCATTCAAATCTGCTAGCTTTACCAGTAAAAAAGTGGATTCTCTAACTGCCAGCCCTACATATGCATTCTTAAGCCAACTAGGATAGACCCAAAAGAAAAAAGGACCTAATTCCAGATCCAGCTCCCATCCAGGACAGTGGAAAGACTCCCACTGATGTCAAAGGTTTGGACTAGCCCCATATAGAGCTCCTAGCTGAAAAATGTATACATTAAGAATATATTGGTTTGGAACAATCTCAACATAAAGGGATGGCAACATGCATAAATGGCCATGTAAAACACATTTTCATCTTTTGACCTTAATGACAAAACTCCCATTGACTTTGATGGCTGCAGAATGGGAGGACTAGATGGAGAGGTAACAACCTGAACTTAGAAAGATCTTCCAATGAGACAATGAAAATAATTCATTAGGAAGCGTGTGTACGTTGATACTTTTCCTCATCAACTCCTACCTCTGATGGGTAGCAAGGCTTTTGCTGTCACGCTGTATCAGGTCAGCATTGAAACAGAAGTCTTAACACATCATAGGGGATAACCTTTAGGGAAGTTAGGTGTATAGTTCATCTCTGAATTGCACAAGGTCAGAATCAATACTTCAGTGCAGGCTACGTCCTACAGAATACTTAGGTGAATTGTTGTACAATCCACTATGTGACTATTATTATATTATTTAGCAAGGGTTGGGGTTTTTTTTCCTCGCAAAGCTTGCAGAATCACGCTAACTGTGAATATTTTCATGAATACAGCATATAGGAAAGCAGTACTGGCCTGGTAGAATGACAAGGAATATGCAAAAAGAATCTTTCAGCAAATTATATATCATTCTAACCACTTTTTTCAGGGCACAATTCTGTGTAAATTGAAAATCTTACACCTGAGCACTCATGTCAAGAGTTGAAAGGTCTATATTTTTGAAAACCGCTTCATTAATATTTACCCCATGGCCCTGATCTAACTCCCATAGTTGGATCAAGCCCTACATTTTTGTAGTATTACAGATTGTCGTTTGAACTGCAAAGAAACTGCATCTGAAAGAGCACCCAGTGGGTTTTAAAAAAACATGTTTAAAAATACTTCCTCTTGTTTATGCAACACTTAGTATTTTAACTGTTCGTTTCTCTTAAGATCTTGATTTAGATCAAGGTGCCATCAGTGAGGTCAACAACATCCCAAAGAGATACTTGTGACTGTTTTCCAGGCACATTCTCTCCTTTACCTCTAATCCAAGGCCAGCACTTCCATACTGCTGGGGCATTAGCTCAATTCTGAATAGAGGGACGTGCACGACTTACTGAACCACACAAACCACTTCCTTCAAAGCTTAGGGTTTCCTTGGAAATCTCCCACCCAAATACTAACCAGACCCAGCCCTGCTTCGTTGGTGAAAGCCAACAAGAGGAGAAGACAAGAGCTTGTCTGTATTAACACATTCTGCTTCTGCGGGCTATAGAGATCAGAAAGGGTTCAATGTCTTTTTATTTTAAGAAAATTATTTGCTGGAAACAATACATTAAATAATTCCTATGCTCTGCATATTATGAATTAGCATTAGCAACAATTCATTGGTCCCTGTTGTCTTGTAATTCAGCATGTTAAGCCAATTCCAACCTTTGGAAACATATATTTAGAAGCATGGGGCTGTAGTTTGGGGGGGATTATCATGTAATATTGCTTGCCACAGAATGAAATAGCCTTTTTCTAATAATAAATAGGATCACCCAAGATTCTAGAATTTAAATGTAAACATATATGGGAAACAAACACACTATTTAAAATATGGGTAGAGGTGGGAGGAAAGTCAGATAGGAGGGCTCAAGGCATTGGCTATAGGATCTAGAATTTTCTCTCTTAAGTCATCAGCTCAGCGCTAGTTCAAGTCAGTAGAAACCAAAATTCTGGGGTCCCAGGTGAAATAAGGTGGTCTCAGTCCATTTCCTAGTGGATAGTTCTACCGGCACAATTGACCTTATTATTAACACTAGCTAGCAAGACTGAACATGGATTGAACAGACATGGAAACTGAACTATTTTCTTGCCGGTAGATGTGCTCTACCCGCTATTCTGATCAGGGCTGAGTTACACTGGGGATGCACCATGAAGGACACCTACACTGTCATGGTAGCAAACAGTTCAATCCACTTTATCATTAGAGTTGGTCGGGAAAATTCCAATGCAACAGTATTTTGTCAGAATTTGCCAATTCATCAAAAATAAAATATTTCACGGAGATGGTTCAATTTCACCAACGTTCCAATGGAGCCCAGGCAGTGTTTTCTGCCAGCTCACCCACCGGGCTCCTTGGCAGCCTGTCCGATGGGCTGCTGGGGACCTCAGGGCTTATATGGTCCACGGCTCCAGCGTCGCATACTAGGCAGACTGCTTCAGAGTCAGAGACTCCAGAGATTCAGGGGCCACCTGGTGGGCTGCTGGGGACCCCACGGTTTCCAGGGTGCACAACTTCCAGACAGCCCATCAGCAGACTGACCCAGAGCTGGGGATCTATTTCAATGAGAATTTTGACATTTTGGGGTTTCGTTCCCAGTTGGAACGAAATATAAAAATCCTCCCTGAACCGGAATGACCTTTTTCCACCCAGCTTGGATTATCATTGTGAATTTTGCCAGCTGTTCCCCCGCCCCCCGCCCTTTTTCCTCTCCTAGGTCATGCCCCCCATCATATGTTCACATTGTAAATGCTGAAAGGATCTTCTACCAGTAGTTTCACAGCAGCAAATTGGTATTTAAACTGATTAACTGCTTATTTGGAGGACTTTCCCTTTCTGCTTTAAGGTGGTAGAATGAAAGCCCTCATGAAACAGACATGGGCACTCTGTCTGCTTCATTTCTAACCAGAGGATTCGTGTGTAATCTCTTATAAGTTTTATACTAAGTATCTGGGTTAAAGAGTTTGGTGTCACATTAGTGGCTTCCATGAGCATAGTTACAGAGAGGAGGCGAGAGGGTAGGGCTGGGACTCAGGCCTGCTGGATTCTATTCTCAGCTATACAGCCGCTGTCCTTAGGCAAGTCATTTAACTTCTCTGTGTCCCAGTTCCCCATCCGTCAAATGAGAGTAATACCTGCCTCGCCAGGGTGGTGTGTGGCTTCATGTATTAATGCTTGTAAAGCACTCTGAGATTCGTTAGTAAAAGACGGCTCAGAACACAGAGTATAAATACATTGTAAGTATAGTGAGTGTATACACACACTGTAGTTATACTGTACATACACTGTATATACTTATACTGTATATATCCACACACATACACAATAACTGAATTTCGTAATGAACTTTTATGTCTCCTTTCTTCCCAGATGCTAAAGAGCTGATTGACTGCGAGACAGAGGGGTTTTTCTCCTTGCATCAGCGCCGGGGAGCTATCAAGCAAGCCAAAATTCACAACGTCAAATGTCACGAGTTCACTGCTACCTTTTTCCCGCAACCCACATTCTGCTCTGTCTGCCATGAGTTCGTCTGGTACGTACAATGATTCAGTGTTTCCTCCACCTTTCATTCTGAAACTCATTGTCTGTTGTGTTAACTGGCTGCCCTTCCATAAGCTCTCTGTGGCTACGAATGAATGAGAGTTGGTGTGACGGGTTGGATCACAGAACCCCCCTTGGGAGCTGCCACTTGATGTGCCAAGACTACCTCTGCTCCTGCTTTCCCTGCCAGCTCGGGACCCCAGCACCCTGTCTTGCTGAGCCAGACACGCCCGTCTGCTCCAACACAGACCCAGGGTCTGAATCACTTGCCCCAAAGCTGCAGTTTTACCTGAAAGCAGCTAACAGAAGTGTTCCTGTCTTTAGCACTCAGATGTCCAACTCCCAATGGGGTCTAAACCCAAATAAATCCGTTTTACCCTGTATAAAGCTTATACAGGGTAAATTCATAAATTGTCCCCCCTCTTTAACACTGATAGAGAGATATGCACAGCTCCCCCAGGTATTAATATATACTCCTGAGTTAATTAACAGGTAAAAAGTGATTTCATTAAATACAGACAGTAGGATTTAAGTGGTTCCAAGTAGTAACAGACAGAACAAAGTAAGTCACCAAGCAAAATAAAATAAAATGCGCAAATCTATGTCTAATCAAACTGAATACAGATAAGATCCTCACCAGTTCCAGAATGCTCCCTTTTACAGACTAATCTCCTTTTAGCCTGGGTCCAGCAATCACTCACACCCCTTGCACACTGTCCTTTGTTCCAGTTTCTTTCAAGTATCCGGGGGGGGGAAGGCTCTCTCTTTAGCCAACTGAAGACCAAATGGAGGGGTCTCCCAGGGGTGTAAATAGACTTTCTCTTGTGGGTGGAGACCCCCTCCTCACTCCTATGCAAAGTCCAGCTCCAAGATGGAGTTTAGGAGTCACCCGGGCAAGTCACATGTCCATGCATGACTCACAGTTTTTACAGGTAGCCTCCATTGTTTACATGCTACCTTGAACATCCTCAAGTAGACTTCTTATGTAGATTGGAGCATTCCAAGATCCATTGTCCTTTAAGTGTTTCTTGATTAGGTACTTAATTTCAACATTCCTTTCTCCAGGAACTGACCAAATGCTCTACTAAGGTTATTTAGAAATCAAGCCAGTCCCCAGCCAACATTCATAACATTCATAACTTCGAATACAAAAATGATACATGCATACAAATAGGATTAATACATTCAATAGATCATAACCTTTGAGATATGTTACATGGCATATGTAGCATAAAACACATTCTAAGCATATTTCCATAAAGCCTTATGGGAGGTACCGTCACAGTTGGTGCAAGTGAGGTGCTTTCAAGTCTTCCCTGGATCACAGCCCAGTGCAATTCAGCATGTACGTGTGTATACAGATGTCCCCAGGCACGTCTGTTATACACTAGACACTAATCATCTCAGGAGAACCTATTCCTTCAAACATCAGTGAAGAAACATTATTACTGCTCACCATTAAGACGCCTGACCCCACAACTCTCACTCCCATACTTGACTCCAATGGGCCTTTTCAGTGAGAGTTTGTCTGAGCAGGACCCAATCCAGCTCCTATTTAAGACAGTCTGGCACAAATCCCCAAAGGTATTTAGCCTCTCAGCTTCCTTTGAAATCAATTGGAGTTAGGTGCCTAACTATCTCTGAAGATCTGGGCCTGAGAATCTTTCCATTGACTTTAATGGGAGTGGGATCAGGCCGTTAGGACTGGAAACTGAGAAAAGGCCTCCGGATTTGGGGCATTGGAACTGTTTGAAGGAGTAAAGACTCCTCATATGAGTAAGTGTCACGATATCAGGTCCTTTATCCGTTACATGTAGGGGCTACGTGTTTCATTCCCGGGATATGACACACACAATGGTCATGTTTCTAATTGCATTTGCACCAGTGTGAACATTCACTCCTATCTTTTACTTTTTATGCAGTGACTAAAAGACACAAGTTTCTAATAAACAGTTTCCCATTAACTGATGCAAAATTAAAAGTTGTAAAGTGCACAAAAACTGCTGTGAGGGCCGCAGGCAGTCATTCTAACTACTAGCTGAAGTGAATAAAGATACTTAATCTAGATAAGCCCCACAGGAGCTAATAAAAATCAATGTGGTTTTATTCAATTTTCATTGCATAAATACTGCTGACATTAGCGCTCTGAAAATTCAAAAGTAACCAGTTTTGTGTTTATTCCAGGGGTCTTAACAAACAAGGCTACCAGTGCAGGCGTAAGAAGCTTTATTTTATTACTATCATTATTTATTCCGTTGTTTTTTTAAATGGCATTTTTCCTAATATGGTGACTTCTCTGTTCTTTCAGAATGCAATGCTGCCATTCATAAGAAGTGTATTGATAAAGTAATAGCTAAGTGCACAGGGTCAGCAATCAACAGCAGAGAAACAATGGTATGTGTCACATTTCGACGTAGGGATTTTATTCTGATCTTTCTCATGCTGATGTAAATCAGGAGTAACTCCAGCGAAGTCACTAAAGTCACTGATGTAGAATGGGTGTAAGGGATCAGATTGCTTGCACCTTCCTAATCGGTCACACAATCTCTTATTTGTGATGCACTCAAATTTAATAACTGAATTTGCAATATTTAGATGAAGACTGGATGTCTTCCATTGGTCCTGCTTTGAGCAGGGAGTTGGACTCGATGACCTCCTGAGGTCCCTTCCAATCCTAATATTCTATGATTCTAAAAGAGATGCTGTACCTCAGATAGAAGTTATGGGCATGAGGGAGACATTATTGGGTGAAATTCGTTGGCCTTTATGATGCAGGAGGTCAGACTCAATGATCATAATGGTCCCTTCCGGCCTTAAAATTGAGGAATTTACCATTTCAAGAGTGTATATATTATCCAAACTTTGCAGATTGTTAATAGGAGATGTGTATATTGACAAGTTCCCCTTTATTATATTTTTATCTTGTCTTTCATCATAGAATCAGAGGGTTAGAAGGGACCTCAGGAGGTCATCTAGGCCAACCCCCCTGCTTAAAGCAGGGCCAATCCTGAGACAGATTTTTGCCCCTGATCCCTAAGTGGTCCCCTCAAGGATTGAACTTACAACACTGGGTTTAGCAGGCCAATGCTCAAACCACTGAGCTATCCCTCCCCCCGTCATTGTTCCAGGGAGCATTCCCCTACCCTGTGCAAAAAGGAGAGTAAGCTGCCATTTCCGCCTTGATGTTAAAACTACATTTTTCTTAGTTAATTTCATCCCACATCTCCTATTTATACCCATGTAGCATTTCCCTTCATCAGCTCTGATCCCTCCATGGTGTTTACACCCTTCAAACTCTTTAGGCTGTTATTCTCAAAGCTAACTAGTGGGTTTAGCCACACAATTCCCATTGACAAAAATGGGAGCTTTGTGGCAAAATCCCCTACTTGGCTTTGTAAATCTATAGACAATTTCCTCTTTTTGGTCAATTCCAATAACAAAGATGCAGCACTGGCATGGATGTCACTTTTTTTCCTACCTTGTTTTCTATATACAATATATTGCTTATTCCCAAGGATTTCCCCGCCCTGGGCATGGTAAAAACCCTGGCAATTAATAATAAGGCTGCCAAAGACCACAGTGATGGGCAGCAGTCTAATCCCCTAAGATAGATAGAATAATATGGATGATGAGTACTACATTTTTTTAATTCAGCGCTGATGTAGAGTGGGCAGTATTTTCACAGCTGTCTTTTTTTCTTGCAGTTCCACAAGGAGAGGTTTAAGATAGATATGCCTCACCGGTTTAAGGTCTACAACTATAAGAGCCCGACATTCTGCGAGCACTGTGGCACGCTTCTTTGGGGCCTGGCGAGGCAAGGGTTAAAGTGTGACGGTGAGTCCCGCTGCTCTGCAAATGTAGACGGAATGGGCCTTTACAAGGCTGCTCTCCTGAGGAGCTGCAGTCTAAGGGCCAAATCCTGTTTACGTTACACATGCAAATACCTCCTTAGTAGTTGGGAGCATGGGGACATGCTGAGGGCAGAGCCCGAGGATCTCCCCCCAAACACACAACAGGATCATTTTGGGGGGGATACACAAGGATGCATGATCCATAGGGCTGAAGAGTGGATCCACATCTGTCCACAGGCTTAGGGAGGAAAATGCCCGCAGGCATCTCTCCAGCCTGTGGCTTATTCAGGTTGGACCAGCACAGTGACTATGCACCAATAGGATTTAACTGGTGCTTAGGCCTTGAGCTACAGAGGGCTTCACAGGGGCGAATTTCACCCTCAGCTGTTGGCTCAGGCCAATAGAAGTGCTCTGCCTCGTGTCAAACAAATGCTGTTTATAATGCAAACCTCCCCAGGCTCTGATCACCTCATAAACGTCTTCCTTTCAGCATGTGGCATGAACGTCCATCACAAGTGCCAGACAAAAGTGGCAAACCTTTGTGGAGTTAACCAGAAACTAATGGCCGAAGCACTGGCAATGATAGAGAGCACCCAGCAGGTACAACAGCTCGTGGGCTGAAACGGCATGGTATAGTGGATGGGGTGCTGGTGTGGCATTCAAGAGACCTGGGTGCTAGTCTACTGACACGCTGTGTGAGCTGGGGCAAATCATTTCACCCTCTGTGTCCTCTTCCACTCTGTCTTGTCTATTTGGATTGTAAACTCTTCAGGGCAGAGACTGTCTCTGACTCTGTGTGAACAGCATGCAACACAATGGGACCCAGATCTTGGTTGGGGCCTCTAGGCATGGCTGTAATATATATATATATATAACAACACGGAGACTCAAACTCTTCCACAGTGTGTTGCTTTAAAGAAACAAAGACTCCAAAAACATGAGCTACCTAATGCGTTCAATCGATGACTTTAGTTTGTAGCCACCTCCTTGTCTTTCTGTAATTATGACTGTGTGGATTAAGCAGGTTTAATAAGATACCTGTGCGCGTAGGCATTTTCAGCCTAAACATCGCTCCTTTTTTGCTTGTGACCCAGGCTCGCTGTTTGCGTGACACTGAACAGATCTTCAGAGAAGGACCTATTGAAATTGGCCTTCCCATTCCTATGAAAGAAGTAACTCTGCTTCACACTGTGCCAGCACCTGCAACTGGGAAAAGAGGTAGCTCTCCAATTATGTGTATTCACGGTGCCAATTATTTAAACTGTTAGCCGGAGACAATGATAATAATGAACTTAGTCCATTCATAGTACAGGGAAACAGACATCCTATGTATTACGTATATAAGCCATGCCCACTCTGTGCTCTGTCCCCCTCTGGTGGTGGCGTTCATCTCCCCCTGACCAGGAAGCGCTTCCCAGCTAGATTCCATGTATGGACCATCACTTGTAATGCTGATGTCCCTGGATGGGTTGTTGACAGCAGGGATCAAACCTGGGAAATGCATAAATGAGCCTCTATTACTTGAGCTGAAAGACCCACCTCTCTGAGCCAAGGCCTAGCCGCCACCAGAAGGAGACAGAGAGTCGCACCGAGTGGGTGTGGCTTACACTTACAAGCCTCACGTGATGTCATGATTCTGACATAGAAGCATGGACATGATTTATGGCTTAGACCTAGTCAGCAACAATTCCAGTGCATGCTCCCAATAATGGAGTTTCCACAAAATAACTCACTCCGGGTGATGTGTTCATTAGCCAATACAAAGCAACATCTGTCACTTCTAGAGTCATGCCTCTACCAAAACATATCCCTCTCATCCACACTCTGTCATACCTACCCTCAAACTATTCCCAGCCTCTCCATATAGGGGCAACTAATCCCCCTGGTCCCAGTGCAATTCCCTTCTACCTCTCCGTAGACATGTGCCCTGACCCATCCATTTCTGTCCTCCAGTGACATGAACCACAAAGCACCACACACACTGCTGGCAAAATCTTCCCCAAATCCTCCTTTAGGTCAGGTATCCCAATACCCACCACTTCCCCCACCCACAACCATATTCATCAGAACCTCAAGAAGAAACGTCACCCACTGTTTAGTTCGAACTATCTGCTCACCACTGAAAATTCATATCCCGGTTTTATTATTTTCTCTGTGTTACGGCTTACAGCTAATGAAAGAGCAATGCTCTTGACAGGTAGCAACTTCATAATCGTTTAAATTTATTTATTTATTTATTGTTTTAGTACTGCAGGCATGTTGTTATAGTCTTAACTAATTATGCTGATTACAGAAACTGCTGCAAGCGTTTCAGTGTTGTGTTTATCTTACCTGTGTATCCTGCCACGCGGTTGGCAAGCTACACTCTGCTGTTGACATGTGTACTTGTTCCAAGAACTGGCTTAATTTTGTTTCACTTTACTCTTTTCTCTCCTCTCTTGGATGATATTTGTACTTAGCTTTGTGAACATCCCTGCAGGTAATGACCATTGATGCTATGAGCCTTCTTTGTGAGTGTGGCCCACCTTCATAGCATGGCCAAATCGTACATTTCAGAACAATCTGCACTCGTGTACAAAAAATGACCATTTGGGGGGAAATCTTTCAAAGACACAAATGGCAATTAGGTGCTGAAGAGCTTGTCTACACTGGGACACTCAAGAAGGTGAATCCAAATTAATGTTTAAAGTGGATTGGTTAAACCACATTAAATCCCGGCACGGACAGTATAATTCAGAATTAAAGTGGCCTTAATTTGATGTGTCTTAATTCACTTCCAAAGTGTGCTTCAAGTTCACACCTTTAGTTAATTTGGATTAATTTTCCTGGATGTCCCCCATGTAGCCATGCCATCATTCCCATAGAAAGTCAATGGAAAATCTACACCTTACTCACCCAAGAGCTGACCTAAACATCAAAATGTGGGTTTTAAGTGGAATCTTTCAGCTCCCACATTTGGAAATTACCTCCCCCTGTGAACCACAATAGCTTTTATTCCTTTTAGTATTAGCAGTGAAGATTTCAAATTCAAAAGAAATCAGAGCAAATTGGCCCAGATTCTTAGTGGTGTAAATCACTGTAGCTGCTGTGACAAAGTTCCTCCTCTATCTTGGTGGGTCCTGCGCTTATTGGTGGATTTTCTTGCCTCAGAGATTCACCATGTGGGTTGGGGAACAGCCCAGAGACCTTCCCCTCTGGGAGAACCCACAGTCCAGATCAATTGGGAGGTCTGGGGGGAACCCGGGCCCGCCCTCTACTCCGGGTTCCAGCCCAGGGCACTGTGGACTGCAGCTGTCTATAGTGCCTCCTGTAATAGCTGCATGACAGCTACAACTCCCTGGGCTACTTCCCCAAGGCCTCCTCCAAACACCTTCCTTATTCTCACCACAGGACCTTCCTCCTGGTGTCTGATAACGCTTGTGCTCCTCAGTTCTCCAGCAGCGCACTCTCTCACTCTCAGCTCCTTGCGCCTCTTGCTCCCAGCTCCTCACACTCGCACCACAAACTGAAGTGAACTCCTTTTTTTTTAAAACCCAGGTTCCCTGATTAGCCTGCCTTAATTGACTCTAGCAGCTTCTTAATTGGCTCCAAGTGTCCTAATTAGCCTGCCTGCCTTAACTGGTTCTAGCAGGTTCCTGATTACTCTAGTGCAGCCCCTGCTCTGGTCACTCAGGGAACAGAAAACTACTCATCCAGTGACCAATATATTTGCCCTCTACCAGACTCCTGTACCCCACTGGTCTGGCTCTGTCACACTGCATTGAAGTGAACGGTGTGACACCGATTTACACCAGCTGAGGATCTATTAATAAAATGGTTGAGTTTTGGCTTGACAAAGCCCTGGCTGGGGTGATTTAGTTGGGGATTGGTCCTGCTTTGAGCAGGAGGTTGGACTAGATGACCTCCCGAGGTCCCTTCCAACCCTGATGTTCTATGATTCTATGAGTTGCACGGTAAATTTAAGAATTACAGTATATGCTATGCCTACCAAATTCAAGTATCATTGTGACTGGATAATTGAGATCAGGGTGCATACATGCTAATCTGCAGTGCTAATGTGCACCTTGACGTGAAAGAACTGTGTTTGGAAATAGCCAACAGGAGGCCAGACAAGGAAGCTCCCCTTGTCCTTCCGGCTGTGAAGCAGCGTTCCATGACAGCATGCTCTATGTTACCGGAGAGAAGGGTCAGGTGGGCAGGGCAGGGTACCAGGGTAGGGTAAGAGCATAGGCCTGTGGATCTGGGCTGGATCCCAGTGACCTGGAAAGAGGATTCTGTTCCCCTCCCCAGTTGACCAATGTGGGGAACCCTTGCACATTGTCTTCCAGCCTTTGAGCTGGGAATTTGCCCAAGGGGAGTTCAGCGCACAAGTCCCAATGACTTTCACTGCACTCCTAACTCACATTGACCTGCTGGAAAATCCCACCTTTGGTCCATAGTGCCTATTATTACCTTGGCATCCAAGGGCTGTAGCACGACTTATGAAGTACAGCTCATAGAATGGGTAGCACAGAAACCACCTCTCCTGCAAGCTTTAAAATACATGTGTTAGGAGCAAAAGCAAAACTAAACCAAAGCTTAAACCCAATAAAGGCCTCAACACTGGGCTCCCAGCTTGGATTCCAGTGGAACGGTGAGAAGAGCACAATGTTTCCTTTCCAACCTTGCTATAATTATCCATGGCAGTGTGAAGCTGTTGCAAAAAAAGCAAACATGATTCTGGGATGTATTAACAGGTGTGTTGTGAGCAAGACATGAGAAGTCATTCTTCCGCTCTACTCTGTGCTGGTTAGGCCTCAACTGCAGTATTGTGTCCAGTTCTGGGCACCGCATTTCAAGAAAGATGTGGAGAAATTGGAGAGGGTCCAGAGAAGAGCAACAAGAATGATTAAAGGTCTTGAGAACATGGCCTAGGAAGGAAGGCTGAAAGAATTGGGTTTGTTTAGTTTGGAAAAGAGAAGACTGAGAGGGGACATAATAG